GTTTAGGGTTTATAGGGGCCCTAATAATTACCTGTTCTAATGTTTAAGGCTTCTACATTAGGGCTGATGCTGGGACCTGGCGACGTCGGCAACTACATCGATCACCAAGTCGTCAGGACCGAATGCCCTTCCGGGAAGTGTGCTGTGTTTCACTGAAGCTGTGTGTTTAAAGGTTCAGGTTGTGCTATTCACGCCGCGTGCGTGGCAATTTGCCAGAGCATAGGTGCGGCCGGACTTGGTGTTGGGGGAAAGGTGGTGGTGGCAGCAGTCGGGGCTGCCGCGGGTAGAGGCACGGTGGCTGCCGTGGAGAAAGTCAACAATGCCGTCACAAGAATCAGAAGCAGACTGTGATGCCGCAGACACGTTCGAAGCAGAAAGCAGCTAAAGTAGAACCATCTCACCTTTGTATTTGCTGGCTTGCTGAAATCCCTGTGGGGATATGCGGCATCAACACCACGCTTCTTTCTTGGTTCAAAGACCTGTGTGGTCTTCGTTTCACTTGACATTGAGTTTTACATTCCTTCCGAAGCTAGGCGCATGCGTGTGTACGGCAAAAGCATCAACCCAGTCTGACAATGCTTGCAGGACAGAGTTACGTTGAAGTCGCAAGCAATCCTACAAATTGTCCTTCAGCCCCTTCCTGTTGTCGTGCTTGCAGGACTTGGAATTGAGCTCATCGCCAGCAGGGCGGCTATTTCCACAGCAAGTGGGTGGTCCTCAGTGTGTCTCCAGCTGCTGCACATCCCCCATGCACTTGATGCGTTTCTTGTCGTTCGCTCAGGCATACGAGAAAGCAGAAATCCAGCTTTAATGAAGCCCGAGCCAGGCCGCGGCCTAAATCGAAAAGTAACGCGTACATAGACCCTCAAACTTAAACTTGTATACACTAAATTCTAGAGCATCACCCCTCTTCCCCTCCCCCCTACCATTCTCCCAGTCTTCCATTCCACGACTTTTAGCCCACGCTCGCTCCCCCTCTCATTCTCATGCGCACTATCTGTCCTTCTCTTTTTCTCTGTCCCTATGGTTTGGCACTTTCTGTCTTTCTCTCTCTCTCTCTCTCGCTCTCTCTGGCTTTATGTCCGTTTCTGTACATACTCTAGATCTGCAGCGCGAACTGAACGCTACCCTCGACCCTAGAAGCCTGAACTCCTCAAGCTTATGGATTTAGGGTTTATAAGGGTTTAGGGGTTTAGGGTTTAGGGCTTTAGGGTTTAAAGCCTCGAGATTTCTTATCTCTGCACTGAGTGGCCGGAGGAGCAGCTGCTGTTGGTGTGGCACCTGTGTAGATGCAAATGCGCCTACGCCGTTCACCGCTCGGCCGAGGTCGGAAATGTATGGTTCAGGCTTTGGGGCTTAAGGTTTAGATGGTTTAGGGTTTAGGGTTTGGGTTTACTATTCAAGGTTTGGGTTTACTGTTTACTGTTTAAAGGGTGTGAGTTTTAGGGTTTAGGCTGCAGCGTTTAGGGTTTCAAGTTTAGGTTTTAGGATGAAGGAGTCAGGGGGTTTTTTGGTTTCAAATACGAAGTAGGACTCAAACTTAAATTTTGGCGTTTGTATGTAGGGGGCTCATTCTGAATAAATGGTGGGTGTTTCTCTGTCGGGTATGGAGGTACTAGTAACAAAAACCATATGTTGACGAGGACCCTCCGGTCTGCATGTAAGACAGCCTCAGTACTGCTAAATTGCTCTTTGATTAGATGAATTAACAGTACATAAATGCACGTGCGGAACCTTTTAAACTTTCTCATGACACCCGCGACAGCCCCGCAAAGCTCTGTTAAGACCCGTTACAATACAGGCACAAACCTTTCTAAGATCCTAAACCCTAAACCCTAAACCCCAAATCCTAAACCCTAAACCCTAAACCCTAAATCCGTGTAATAAGAGACCCTTACGCGAGACATGGGCCGGTCAGGACGAATCGTGTGGCGGCCGAGCCCTGACCGGCACAATCCAAGGCCAAAAGTAAGTAAGTCTCTGTGTCACTAAACCCTAAACCCGGTGTGTGGGTGTTTGGGTTTGTGTGTTTGTTTCTGTGTTGGTCTTTCTTGACCGGGGGAGATCATGGCTCAAGGGTTAGGGCTTAGGGTTGGGGCGTGGAGGGCCGCTGAGTCTAGGGTTGAGTGTTCCGGACGTCTTCGGGGGTTGGGGTTAATGATCTTTTATGTGTCTCAGATTGCCAGGCTTGGAGGTATGGGACTGAGATGCGCGTGTGTTCCACGCAACAACCGAACAAACACGTCAGATATCCGAATCAAGATGTTCATCATCGATGTCCTGGTCCACATCTTCATAGTCGATTATCACCAGAACTTCACGCACGAGGGGAGTAGGCTGCACACAACCCTTTCGTGGTTTTCTGTTTGTGGGCTCTTCAGTCCCGCCAGGATTGTGTACTCGTGCTTCGGCGGACGGTGAGCTTGCATGCGAATGGAATTTGTGGAAGAAAGGCCCGCAACCATGAGCTACAGCGTCATTCTTGTGGAAGAGCCCATGACTACCCATAGGCCCCATAGTACTTCCTTTTTTGGGCTCAGATTTAGCATCCTATAAGGTAATCCCCAAAAAGGAACTACCAAGGGGCCTATGGGTAGTCAACTTACTGATTCCAAGAAAGGTCTCCAGGTGATGTGATGATGGGACCACGGTTTAGGGTTTAGGGTTTAGGGTTTAGGGTTTAGGGTTTAGGGTTTAGGGTTTAAGCCCTAAATCCT